GGGGGGAAGGGAATTTTAATTTTTCTTTTTTTTTTTTTTTTTTTTTTTTTCCCATTACCAGGAAACAGCCAGGAATATCCTGGAAATCTGGGAGATTCCCACCCTCCTTTTTCCCTCTCCAGTGGGGAAAGACCCCTGGCAGAAGTGGAGTCACCAACAACTCCAGGGAATGAACACCTGGGAATCCCTGCCCCAGGATCTGCCAGAAACCAACAGGGATAAACGGCTTAAAGAGGGGAATTAGAGGAATTCATGGAATACGAACCATCCAGGAATCTTTGCTATCCCAGCCCATGGATATTCCCTAAATCCTTCATCTTACACAAACCCCATCTGCTTGAGCCATTCCATGAAATCCCCCCATCTCCAGAAACCTGGAATGGTTTGGGAGGAAAAGGGACCTTAAATCCCACCCCATTCCATGGGCAGGGACAGCTCCCAGGATCCCAGCTGGATCCAATCCCAGCGTCCAGCCTGGCCTTGGGCACTGCCAGGGATCCAGGGGCAGCCCCAGCAAATCTGGGAATTCCAGCCCAGCCCCTCCCCACCCTCCCAGGGAGGAATTTTTTTGATAGAAACCAATTAAAATCCCCCAAAACTTGGGCCAAACTTGGCTTCTGCTCAGGGCAATGAGAGAAGGCGGGATCCAACGCTCATCCAGGGATTTTCTTCCCCTTGGATCCCCAGTAAACCTGGGGATTCCAGCAGCCAGGTGTCCAAAGGAGACGTGGAATTTTATCTTCCGTGGGATTTAGGGGTCAGGTTTTTCCCTGGGGACGCACAGAGCCAGACGAGGCATGAATGAAACCGTTAAATGCTGTATTTGTTTAATTGGAATTACACCAGGATAAATGTCCAACATGCTAATTTCTAACAGAATTTAACCTGTAATTGACCATGCAGTCCTTTCTCCAGCCATTCCAGCTCTTTTTCCTCTTGGAATCAGTAGCTCTGCTAGCGAATTTTAAAGGGAAAAAAAACCCAACAAAACAAACCAACAAAACAACGAAATTCCCTTTAAAGTTAAACCTAATTTGCTAAATTTTCCCCTTATTGTGCAACGACTTGTGCAAAAAAAGCTGTTTTCACCACCTCAGTTCCCAAAATCAGGTCCTTCCACCCCAAAATCAACGGGAAAAGGCAACCCCGGTGGACAGGGAGGGATGGGATGTGGGATGGGAGAGCTGGGGGGGCTTTTCCTGGAAAAACAGAATCTGAGGGATGAGCCAAGGCAGGGATCAGCTGGGACAGGGCAGGATTCCAGAGCTGCCCATGGAATTTTTGGGAAGCTGCAGGTGGGGATGGATCCCAGCTCTGGGAAAAGCTTCCCAAATCCAGCCCTGGGGCCGAGAGATTGGAGCAGCAGCTTTGGGGTGAAGCAAACTCCCCTGAGCTCCCCGCCTCCATCCCAGCATTTTTGGGGTGAATCCCAGCCAATCCCGGTGTTTTTGGGTCACTTCCCTCTGATCCACGGCGTTCCCAGTGGGCAGCAGAGCTAGGATCATCCTGGAGTCATTTGGGATGGGATTTATGAGATTTGTGTTCCCTTGGGGCTGCCAGCAGTGGGATAAACATGGAATGGTGCTGGGGGGGTGGGAAATGAGGGGTCTCCAGCCCCACGGAGCTGTAGGAAAAATGGGACAGAGATCCCAAAAATCCTGTGGCTCCCAGGGATGGGACTCGAATCCAACCGGAGCGTGGGATGGAGTTTGGATGCTCCAAACCCCTCCAAGGTCCACAAAAGCACCAAACCCAACCCAGAACTAACGGGAAAAGCCCAGCAGAGCCAGGAGACATCCAAGGCTGAGGAATTTCTGCCCGGGATTTGGAATTTGGTTGGGATTTGATGCCAAAACTTCAGTGTGAGGGAAGTGACAGCAGAGGTGCCCCCGGAGCGGCCCCGGCTCCATCCCAGCCTTGCTTCCCAGAACTTTCCAAGGAATTTGGGGCCACCGTGGCCCTTCCCACAGCTCTCGTCCGAAATTCCACCTTCCCCCAAGCAGCCGATCCAGGGGAAAACAACCCCAAAACAGCATCTTCCCAACTCCTCCCGTCCCCACCCGAGTGGGAGCTGGGGCTGGATCTGGAACAAAGTGCAAAAACCACTGGGAGCATCTGGCTTGGACTGCAGCCCCAGGAATACCCAAAAATTCCCAGGAAAACCCATCCATTCCCACCTCGCACGTGCTGATGGCTCAGGGAGAACATCCCACGGATGGGCTGGGCTGCAAATTCCCGCTTTGGACACCTTTTATAGGATTATTCCCAACTCCCGGAATGCCTGACAGCTCCTGAAGAAGGAAAGAAGCTTCTTGGGAAGCCAAATTTGGGTTTTAATGTACTTTTTTCCCCACTGGTGCTGGAATATATTTGCTGGAGCCGGGAAAAATTACGGAATAATCTAATTTTCTTTTCTTAATAAATAAAACCCACTAAGGAATGTTCAAGGGGTGTGGAGCGAGGTGTGAGAGCAGCATTATTTATTTTGGGAAGCTGGAAATCTTAGATTCAGGTCCTGCCCCTGTTTCCCACCCTCTCCCTCCCCCTTTTGAATTCCCTGCAGCCACTTTTCCCTCCTAAGCAATTCCATCCGTGTCGGAGGACACCCATCATTAGGAAGAGACTGAGAAGGGATTTGGGATGTCTTCCAGGGTTTTTTTTTTTTTGGAGGGGGGAACAATCTGTTTAAAAGATTAATTTTGTTTGGAAGGGATGGAGCCGCATCTCTCAGAACAAAAAGTTAATTGGGACCAGAATCCCAAAATCCCATTTTTCATCCCGGGCTCTGACTTGCGGTTCCGGCTCTTGACCTCCCGAGATCAGGAACTCCCTGAATCTCTCCCTTGGCCGGATTTGACTTTCCCAACAGCAAATCCTGAGCACCGGGAGCTGGTTTGGAGGATCCCAATGCTGGTTTCTCCAAGGAGAGCCTGAAGGAGCGAGGAAACCCATCCCAGGTCGCTGCTCCTGGAATTACAGCTCAGGGAGACGGGAATGGAGCCCAGCGTGGATTTGGGAAGGGTGGGAGCTGCCTGGAGTGTCTGAAAGGAGGCCTTGTCTTGGCTGTGCTGGGGATTTTTTGTGGGAATGCCTCGTGGAGTGAAATATAGGTGGGAAAAACGGAATTTCAGGATGGCAGCACAAAATCCCTTCCCTGTGTCCCCAGGGCTTCTGCTCCTTCTCCATCCCACTCCCAGGATTCCCATCCCTTGTCCCTCTGGGTCGTTTCCAGAGGTGTCTCCAAAGCTGATCCCGTTCTGGCCACGCTGACTCCGACTTTCCTTCACCTGCTGCTTTTCCCTCCATCCCTCTTTCAAATCCCTCCAAGAGGAGCTCAAAAGGAACCCCCGATCCCTCTCCAAAACCAAGGAATTGCAAGTTTTCCCTCTTACTGATGAAAATAATCCCTTGGTCTCTCTAGCTGGAGGCGGCTGGGACAGCCCAAGAGCTCCAGGGGGTCGTTCCCGACCGTGTTCCCGTTTAATTTTGGGATTGAGCCAAACAAACCTTCTCCAAATGAAAACCAGCCCCAAAATATTGCTGTGGAGCAAGGTGGGAAGGCAGAACCTCCGCACTGGCGCATCCCAAGGGTTGGGAATGGGCACGGGAGCAGCACTTCCAGGGCTGCAACAACCAGGGGGATCTGGATTCCCTTCAAGGCTTTGGGAATGCGGCTGGATAATGTGAGGAATTAAAGGCAGAAGGGTGACGAGAAGGGTGAAAATCCCCCTCGGGAACCGGGATTCTGGGATTAAATCCCGTTGGTGGCCGCCTGGTTTGAGCAGAGGATGTCTGGGGGCCTTTGGGACAGGGGGAATTTTATCCACAGGCACTTTGGAGCAGCGCTCCTCCATGGGGAATGTCCCACTGCCAAGTTTTCCCCATGGAACCATCAGGAGGAGAGGGAAGATGGGAAAAGAGAGGGAAAAACCCCTCCTGGACTCCGGGAGATCCCGGTGTGCCTTCCCAGCATCCCTGTGGAGCATCCGTCCCCTCCGGCTCCCCATCCATGGATGTGTCCAGCAGCATCCCAGCCCCGGAGCGGTGCCACAGGGCACATTCCCAGATTATCCTTTGGCTGTCCCTTCTCCATGATCCCGCAGCCCCTGGCAGGTCCTGGAGTGGAGCTCAGGGATGGTTACGGACACGCGGCAAAGGGATTCCAGGGATTTGCGGACTAATGTGGAAATCAGCCCGTGGAGGTGGAAAAGAGGAGAGAAAAACCTGGGAAATCCCTTTTTCCTACCTAAATCCAAACCACAGGACACACTCAGGGCCACCCTCTTCCCAGGGAACCCAAACCCACGGCTCTTCCCAGATTTCTCTGTTTCCCAAGGGAATAAATTAACAAAAGCAAGGCAGGATGATCCCTTCACTTTGGCTTTGCCAAAAAAACAAAAAAAAACCCCAAAACCCAAAACACAACCCAGTCCGGGTGTGAACTTCTCCCAGGCTCCAAGAATTCCCATCCCTTCCTAAACCCCTGAAAATAGGAGCTTATCCAGGAGACCCCTCGCAACACCTCTTTTCCCGGGATTGTTCCACCGGGAGTGTTTTGCCGTTGGGGGGAGGCTCCGCGGAGACTTTCCAGGCGAATAAAAAAATACAAATCTTCTCTCCGAGCGAGATTCCCGAAGTCCAGGCGGCGGGAAGGAGATCCCGAGCCCCTCAGGAGTGGTGGCTGTTGATGAGGCCGCGCAGCTGCTTGGCCACGGTGTCGATCAACTTCTGCTTGTCCCGCTCGTTTTTCCGGAATTGGGCGAAAACGTTGTTTTTCCTGCTGGTGTCCCGCATCCTGCACGGAGCACAAACGGGTTATGGAACAGGGATTGGGAATGGCCGGCGCTCAGAGGGGTGGACATGGAATTTCCAGCCTCTACACCAATTTTTTTTGAATTTTCCCAGAATTTTTGCTTCAAACCCCTCCAATCCAAATCAACGCCACTGTGGGATCTCTCCCAATTCCCGCTTGTTTTTCCGGGATTGGGTGAAAATTTCCTGCTGGTGTCCCGCATCCTGCAGGGAGCACAAACGGGTTATGGAACAGGGATTGGGAATGTCTGGCGCTCGGAGAAGAGGACATGGAATTTCCAGGCTCTACACCAATTTTTTGGGGAATTTTTCAGGCTTTAAACCCCTCCAATCCCAATCAATGCCACTTTGGGGTCTCTCCCTAATTCCCAAATGCAAGAAATCCTAAATCCTCCCTCTTCCAAACAGGGGCTTCTCCATCCCCACGTCACCTTCTGTGGCAGGGATGGAATTTGGGGAGGAGATTTAAGAATCAGCACGGAATTAAGGCTTTTTTCCTTCAAACTTGCATGCACGAGATGCAGCTTTAGGGGAGGCTGGGAAGGTCTGGAGTTGTGAATTCAAATTTTATAAAATATTCCCAGGGAATCACTGAATGTTTGGGTTGGAAGGGGCCTTAAATCCCATCCATTTCCAGCCCCCTGCCGTGGGCAGGGGCACCGCCCGCTATCCCATTTTTCCCAATGAATAAGAAATATAAATTATCTGGATGTGTATAATTTATATTAAATATAACACAAATTAATTGCCATTCCAGGAAGGAATCCAGCTGTTTGGAAGGAGCATGGCGTCTCCAGGAGGTGTCCATAAATCCAGAGCCCAGCAGAGCAGGGATGGGACCCCACATGCAAAGCTGGGAGGGGGTTCATGCACTCCTGCATTCCCAGATCCGTATTTTTTGTGGGGAAAAGGGCTTGGAACACACTCCAAGGGTGGCGGGAAGGCTAAAAAAAAAATCCCACCAGGATCAATCTTCCCGCAGCTCCTGAAGGCACAACCTCCCAAAATCCAACCTGCTGGGGCCCGGCTCTTCCCAATTATCCCGATTTGTAGAAGATTTTCTGGGTAAATCAGATCTGGCAGAGGCCGAGGGCTTTGGATGCATCCCATAATCCCAGGTTGTGGCTTTGGGGACCAAAGGAAGCGTTGGAGTGACAGGGACACGGTGCTGATGATCCCTGGGAAGCTGGCCCTGGATCATCCCAAGGGTCTGGAGTCAACTGAGCACAGCCCCAACCTCTCCAAATTTACGGAACACAAACAAACATCCAAGGTTTTCCCGGCTTCAACCTCTGAGGAAGAGCCACAGGGAATGGGAAATGTTCCCAAAAGCACCAGGCTTGGAACTGGAATCCAGGACAACAGCTTTATCCCAAAGGGGAATTTACTGGGATTACCAGTGCCCAGAGACAGAGCTGCTCTCCCAACGGGAACAGGAGAGCTTGGAGCACTTCCAGCCACCAAAACCGGGATTTGTTTGTGTTTCCCTGTTTTTTTAGCCGGAGCAGGTTGGCAGCTGCTCCTCCAGGAGGACCAGGGAGCGACTGTGCCAATGGGAAGCGGAGTTTGGAGTCACCCAGGTCCTGCCAGCCTGGATTTGGGGACAATGTTCCTCCTCTGGAACTCCAAACAGCTACAGGAGGTCTCCGAGCCCTTCCCCAGCAGAGCTGGGAGCTCTCCCAGGTTCCAGAGGGACATCAGAGGTGCTGGAAGTCGACCTGTACCTTTGGAAAGCTCTTCCCATCCCTCTCCAGCCCTTCCACACACCAGGAATTTAGAGCTTTTCCATCCTGGCACCTCTGGGGCCATCTCCCATCCCGTGGGACCTGCTCGGGCCCATGGAATGTTTTGGAAGCAGCACAGATTCCGTGCAAGAAAACCTTGGGCTGCATTGGGATGATTGGGAAGGAGCTGGATGGATAAACCTCCGGATCAGGATGGAAAGGGACTGCAGCCGGAGCCCTGATCCCACAACAAACCCACCGAGGATCTGGAAAAGTCTGGGAGCATCCGGGAGCTGCTGGAATCTCCAGATACCACATGAAGATGGAAGCACTGAGCTATTAATGATTATTAATGAATTAAGATGAAGGACAGAAAATCTTGCAGGATTTGGGATGGGCTGTGCAGATCCAGAGGTTTTTTTTCCCTGAGGAGAGCCTTGGGATAACTGGGAGTGCCCACAACAAACCCACAGAGGTGGATCTGGTAAATCTGCGAAGGATGGGAACAGCTGGAATCTCCAGATACCCCATGAAGGTGGAAGCGATATTAACTGTTATTAATTAATTAAGTTGCTTACAGGACACAAAATCCTGCTGGATTTGGGTTGGGCTTTGCAGATTCCCGGTTTTATTTCTCCAAGCAGAGCCTTGGGATAGCTGGGAGTGCTATTAACCAACCCACAGAGGCGGATCTGGTAAATCTGGGAAGGATGGGAACAGCTGGAATCTCCAGACATGATGGAAGCACTGAGATATTAACTATTATTAATGAATTCAGCTGCAGGACACAAAATCCTGCAGGATTTGGGATGGGCTGCACAGATCCACAGGGGTTTTTTTCCCCTGAGCAGAGCCTTGGGATAACTGGGAGCGCCCATAACAAACCCACAGAGGCGGATCCCGGTAAATCTGGGAGCTGCTGGAATTCCCGGACACCACGTGAAGGTGCAATCGCCGAGATATTAACTATTATTAATTAATTAATCTGCCTACAGAACAGAAAACCCTGCAGGATTTGGGATGGGCTTTGCAGATTCCCAGTTTTATTTCTCCGAGCAGAGCCTTGGGATAACCGAGGGTTTGGAAGCCGGTCCCAGGATTAGGAGTGAAAGGAAGGGAAAGGCGAGCTCGGCGCTGTCCCCACCCCTGTCAACAAACACCACCTCGGAGAGAGCCGAGCTTTGTCTCAATTAATCCGGGAGGGGAAGAAAGCAGCGGGGTAAAAGCTCCTCTTTTAGCTCTAATTAGTGCATTTGGGAGGATCGGGTTGCGCAGGGCCCCGCTCCACAGGCACTTTGCAATTCCAGCCTTTCGGGCTCCATTGAGAGCGGACAATCGGGGCCCGGCGAGGTGAGGGTGAAAGCCCGAGCGAGCGCATACTTACACCCGGGATATCCTGGGAGAGACGGACACGGGCGTGATAAGGGACAGAGATAACCAGGAGAACAGGTTACAGGCTGAGCCGGCCCGGCGGAATTCCCGGCGGGATGGGAGGCAGCGGACATGCCCGGAGCTCGTGGAGGATGGACAGAGACCCCTCAGAGGGATCCCAGGAAGTGCCCAAGGCCAGGATGGACAGGGCTTGGAGCAACCTGGAATGGTGGGGGGTGACCCTGGCCATGGAAGGGGTGGGAATGGGATGATCCTTAAGGGTCCTTCCAACCCAAACCATTCCAGGATTCTGGAGCCACTCAGCGCTGGGAGAGCTGGGAATGTTCCCCTGGAGAAGGGCAAAATGCAGGGAATGCTGAGAGTCCCTGCAGGGGCTCCAGGAGAGCTGGAGAGGGACTGGGGCCAAGGGCTGCAGGGACAGGAGCCAGGGAATGGCTTCCACTGGGAAAGGGGAGATTGGGCTGGGATCTTGGCAAGGAATTCCTGCCTGGGCTGCAATTCCCAGATTTGCTGGGGCTGCCCCTGGATCCCTGGGAATGCCCAAGGCCAGGTTGGACATTGGGATTGGATCCACCTGGGATGGTAGGAGCTGTCCCTGTCCCATAGATGGGGTGGGAATGGGATGATCCTTAAGGTTCCTTCCAACCCAAACCATTCCATGATTTTATGACTTTATGGAACGAGCCAGGCTGGGGTTTGGTGACATTTTAACACCCCAGAGTGTGGAGCTGCTCTCCTGCTGTCCCACCACCTTCCCAGCCTCTGCCATGATCCCAGCTCACTGCCTGCCTCAATTCCCTGGCTCTTCCAGGTGCTGCACGGCCAAGCTCACAGATTTTGGGTATAAATGCATTATTTTACCATTTTACTGTTAGCTCTGAATAAACCTCTCACTCTCACATCTCAGATGCTGGGTCACGAATTCTCTGTGTATCACAGGATTGTTCCGGTTGGAAAAACCCTCCAAGGTCACCAAATCCCACCATCCCCCAGCATTTCCACATCCACCCCTGACCCACAGCCCCGGATAACTCACTGGGATAACACAACCCAGGAAATAACGGTGTAAAAACAACACCTTGAGGTGTAAAAGTACTTTAAACCCACAACTGCCCCGGTTGTGTCCCTCACTGGGACCCTGCGGGTGTCCTGAGGTGCTGTGACATCCGCTCTTCTCCTCTGGGGGAGAGGAGCTGGAGCTTCCCTGGACCACGATGACACCGAGGGAACTCCAAAGTTCACAAACACCCCAAGCTCGCTCAGAGAATCAGAGATTCAGAGAAAAATTCGGGTTGGAAGGGACCTTCGCAGCCCACCCAGTGCCGCCCCTGCCCTCCCACCATCCCCGGGTGCTCCCAGCCCAGGCCAACCCAGAAACTTCCAGGGATGCAGCTGTGTTTGGTTGGATCAACCACGGAATCAGACCACGAGGAGCAGTTTGAGGTGATTTGGGGTCTCTCTTTCTCCTGGAGGAGGTGACGAATTTAGGGTTGGGGCCACACTTCCAGAAGAACATTCAAGGATCCCGGATCCCTGGCAGTGTCCAAGGGCAGGGTGGACAGGGCTCGGAGCAGCCTGGGATAGTGGGAGGTGTTCCTGCCCATGGAATGGGATGGGCTTTAAGGTCCCTTCCCACCCAAACCATTCCATGATCCCACGAGGATCCCCTCCTGCCCTCTCCTCCATGCAGGACCCAGCACCGCAGCGCCCGTGGCAGGAGCCGCTCGGAAAACTATGAATTCCCGTTTTTTGGCTCGTTCTCTGTCCCACCAGCTGGACAACGGCCTGGGAGGTCTGCTGGGAGCAGGAGCAGAGTGGATCCTTCCCGAGCCAGCTTGGAGCTGGACCAGCGGAGATCATCTGGGAGACCCACCACGGGCAGGCCGGGCGGGGTGACAGGCAAAGCAAATCCTGCTTTTCCTCGGGCCTGCAGCAGAATCCCGCAGCGTTCCCGGCTCGCTGCCGGCCCCCAGGACTGGCACAGGCCCCCGGGAGCCATCCCGGAGCCCCGCAGCGCGTCCGGGCGCTGTTCCCGGCACCGCTCCAGGATTTGGGATGGAGCTGTGCGGAGCATATGAACTACGGCCCTCAAAGGATGGATTGAGGGAGCCCGTCCTGGCTCGGGGCACCCAGAGACGGAATTGGGATTGGGGCCCCGTGGGAGGGAGGTGGGAGAAATGGGAATAAATGGGAATAGAAAGAAATGGGGAGGAAAAAAAAAAAAATGAACATAGGGATATATGGAAATAGAAATAAGTAGAGATAAAAATATGGACATGGAAATGAATAGAAATAGAAATAAAAATGTAGAAACAGAAATTTGAAATAAAATACAAAAATGGAGCTGTGGAAATAAATATAAATATATTATACTTATATAAAAATAAGTAGAAAAATATAGAAATAAAAATATAGAAATAGAAATAATTTTAAAAATAAATATGTAGAAATAGAAATATAGAAATATAGAAATAAATATATTATACTTATATAAAAATAAGTAGAAAAATATAGAAATAAAAATATAGAAATAGAAATAATTTTAAAAATAAATATGTAGAAATAGAAATATAGAAATATAGAAATAAATAAATATAGAAATAAATAGAAGTAAAAATATAGAAATAGAGGTAAATTTTAAAAGAAATATGTAGAAATATAAATAAATAAATAAATAAGTAGAAATAAATAGAAATAAAAATATAGAAATAGAAATAATTTTAAAAATAAATATGTAGAAATAGAAATATATAAATATAGAAATAAATAAATAAAAATAGAAATAAACAGGAATAAATATATAGAAATATAAATATTTTTTTAAATAAATACATAAAAATATAGAAATAGAGAAATAAATAGAAAAAATATAGAAACAGAAATAAATTTTAAAAGAAATGCATAGAAATATATAGAAATATAGAAATAAACAGAAATACAGAAATAAAATTCAAAATTTAGAAAGAAAAATAAAAATAGAAATGTAGAAATAAAAATAAATAGAAATACAGAGATACAGAAACAGAATAGAGTATTCTCAGGTGGAAGGGAACCTGCAACAATGTGCTCCAACTGCCCAACAACTTCACAACCAAAAGTTGTTCATAGCATTGCCCAGCTGCCTCCCAAACACTGAAAAATTCGGGATAACCACTCCTTCCTGCAGCCCTGTGCATTTTAAAGGATTTTGGAGCTGCAGGTTCATCTTTACAGTGAAATTTTCCTTGCAGGACAGGGAAAACTCTGCTTGAGAGCCAACAAAAAGAAGGACCCGCAGCCAAGCCATTGAATTTGGATAATGTGGGATCAAACGGGATTTTTCTATCTGAGCTCCCTCTGTCCACCCAGGGCCAAGATCTTTGCTCACAGGGATGGAATGAGCTGCTAAATAAAGCAAGGTAGGGGTGGGAGTTCTCCCGGGATTTGGGAGCCACACTCACTTTTCCAGCAGGATGAGGGCTGTGGTGGGGTTCACACGAAGATACTTGCACGTGGGCTGTCCGTAGTCGGCCAAATATGTTGACCAATCCCACTGGATGAACAGATCCAGGAGCTGGAATGGAAAAACAAACGGGGTTTGAAAATGCTGGAAAAGGGAGCAGGTGTTTCCCTGGAAGCTGGCAGAGGTCCTGGGCAGGTGGAGTTATCCATTAAAAAAGTGAATGCAGGCTTTATTAGTTTGTTTAATGTTACGCTGTTAAAATTTCATCGTTAACTCGGTTGTACTTCATTATTGATTTAGGAATACTTAACATTATTTAATGCAGGGCTGTGTTAATTTACTCACTGATCATTCCTGCTCTGTGATCCCCGTTTTTTGAGGTCTGAGACCCCTCGAGGACGTGGGTGACAAACAACCCCAGTGCCCTGACACTCTCAGCTATTGCAAGAGGAAACTTTTGGGGTCAAAGTCACCACAAACTTCTGTCCCCAAACAGCCCCCGGTGCCGTTCTAACCATTCCCCATGGATTTCTCATCACCTCTGGTTCACCCCAACACCCTCCAGCTGCTCTGGAAGTGTCTCCAGAGCTTCCCGAGGAGCTCTGGGGGTTATTCTGGGTGGGTACAGCTCCGGGAGATGGGAGTCCAGGTGCTTTCCAGACGTTGGTAAGAGAAACCAGCAGGCGTTGGCAGCAGGGGAAGGAAAAGGGATTAACTCGGCCATCCGTGACAGCTCCCGCTCCAGACTGCCAAAATTCCCACCTGCAGCCCTCCGTGTCCACAAATGACCCCGGATCCTCCCAGCCAGGTGAGGGACGGGAAAACGACAGCTCAGGTTGCCTAAATGCCCTTTTCCCACATCATTCCCATCCTTGTTTTCCATAAAAACCAGGCGCTCCCAAGCCCTCCCCACACGTGGGTGTCCTCACCCCAACAAGGCCTTGGCTTCTCCACCCACCCATGAAGGCGCAGTCCAATGCCCTCTTCCCACACCATTCCCACCCTTGTTTTCCTTAAAAACCAGGCGTTCCCAAGCCCTCCCCACACGTGGATCTCCTCACCTCAACGAGGCCTTGGCTCCTCCACCCACCCACAGGGCCCAGCATTCCCGGGATGCCGCCTTCACCTCTGCCTCATCCGCAGCAGGTTAATTAAGAGCTCCTGCCTCTCCCTCCTCCCAAAGATCCCGTCTTGGAGCGCCGCTGTGACCACTCTATTTGGGGACAGGCTGCCAAGCGCGTGGACGTCTTCATCGCCCGCTCGGCGCGTCCCGGCGCCCACCACCGGAGCCCGGAGAGGCCGGGCCCGTCCCGCGGCCAAGCGGGGCCCATAGAGGCCTCATTGTCCCCGCGTCTCCATGGTTTTCCTGGAGGCCCCGGCGCTGTTTAACAACGCATCCTGCCCCGCCAAGAAGGGGATTTAGCTCCTCCGAGACCTCCAGATACAAAACAAAAATGTGCAACAAGATTCTTTTTGACTATGTAGGTCAGGGCAAGGAAAACAAGCTGTCGGGAACAATCCCCCGGGCTGGCGGGGGGGATGGATTAGCCGGGACCTAAGAGGGCTTTTCCAGCCCAGGTCCCGCTCGGCTTTGTCCGGCGGGGCCTTTGTGTTGAACTACAAACCCGAGCTGAACATCATTGGCAGGAGGTTTTTCCAAGGGGGCACCTTCGAGAGAGACAACCCTAAATATGATTTCACAGGCGCTTTTCAGGCCGAGCGCCGGGGCCAAAACGCTTCCGCGGGGTTTGGCGGCTGCTGGGAGGAGTTGCATGGTTGTACAGGCTCAAAGGGAACCCCCACAACGCACCAAAGGCCTCTTGCTGGTGGCCCCGGGAGGCTGAACGTGCCTCGGGCAAATCCCAAACAAAGCCTGAACGAGTTCTTGCCATGGAAAGTGCGCGGCCGGAGCATCCAGGGGCCAGGTAGCCGTTGGTGGGGAGGGGGAATAAAGAGCCAGGAGGAAAGCGATGGAGGGAGAAAGGAAATAAAAATGTGAGGAAAAGGAAGGGGTTTGGAGAAGATGGATTTACAGCGTTGGGAGTTGTTTTGGCAGAGGCTCAGGAGCAGTGCAGGAGCTCAGAGGGACACGGAGCGGCTCCAGGGCTGGACCCCCCTGCCATGGAGCCAGGCTGGGAGAGCTGGGAATGTTCTGGAGAAGGGAAAAATCCAAGAAGGCCTTGAAGGGGCTCCAGGAGAGCTGGAGAGGGACTGGGGACAAGGGCTGGAGGGACAGGAGCCAGGGAATGGCTTCCCACTGCCAGAGAAACTCCCATGACCCAGAACCATGGGCAGCAGCTCTGAAGGAGCCCAGGTGTGCCCAGGTGGCCACGGTGGCCAGGGACACCTGGGCTGTGCCAGCTCTGGGGCGGCAGCAAGACCAGGGCAGTGCCCTTGTCCCCTGTGCTGGGGCACCTCCAGTGCTGGGGCAGCTCTGGAGAGCCCTGGAGGGGCTGGAGCGTGGCCAGGGAAGGGAACGGAGCTGGGATGGGGCTGGAGAATCCCTAAGGGAGCTGGGAAGGGGCTGGAGAATTCCTGAGGGAGCTGGGAAGGGGCTGGAGAATTCCTGAGGGAGCTGGGAAGGGGCTGGAGAATCCCTAAGGGAGCTGGGAAGGGGCTGGAGAATTCCTGAGGGAGCTGGGAAGGGGCTGGAGAATTCCTGAGGGAGCTGGGAAGGGGCTCAGGCTGGAGCAAAGGAGGCTCAGGGGGAATTTCTGGCTCTGCACAAGTCCCTGGCAGGAGGAGACAGCCGGGGGGATTTGGGATCTGCTGGCAGGGAACAGGGACAGGAGGAGAGGGAACGGCCTCAGGCCGGGCCAGGGGAGGCTCAGGTTGGACACTGGACAATTTCCCTTCCTGGAAAGGGCTGTCCAACCTGGTGGAGCCCCCATCCCTGGAAGGATTTGAAGGATGTGGCACTTGGGGACATGGGACAGCGGTGGCCTTGGCAGCGCTGAAGAAAGGCTTGGATCTCTGAGCGCTTTTCCAACCTTATTGATTCCACGACTCCCAAGGCTCCCACCTTGGCCTGGACCTTCCCGGAGCTCTCAGAGAGCCAGACCACCCCCAGGTGGCTCCCGACAGTGACAGATGGGCTGTGTATTTTCCACCTCTTTGCCCACATCCATCTTTTTTGGCTCGGCAGGTCCGAGGACGGCTGGGGCCAGCACCTTTGGCCCCGGCTGCCGGCCGCGCTCCGGAGGGGAGAGGTCCTGCAGGAGGAAGCCCGAAGGCTCAGGGAGAGTTGCCTCCAGACAATTTATCTGTCACATAAATGTGGTTTTATTGGTTTTACTGCTTCAACTTTTCACCTCTGCTGCTAAATCTGAACGGGCCGAGGGGAAAGGAAAAAAAGGGAAGAGGGAAAAAGCCGGTGGCGCGGGGCTGCCGCGGGGCTGCCGGGGGAGTTTCCAAATCAAATATGCAAATACCATTAATTCTTTAAACTGGAGTCTCCCTTTCAAGGCCATAAATCAAACTCGACAGCACATCCACTGGGGGTGGGAGGGGGGGAGAAGGAGAAGGAGAGGGGGGAAAGGGAAAAAAGAGGAGGGAAAATTAAGAGGAGCTTTCACCACGACGATGTGGGAGCAGGATGAGATCAGGAAGCTGCAGACGTGCTCAGGGCGAGGGACCTTCAGCTTCCCCGGGTTCCTGGAACACCTTGAGCAGGAGCAGGGAGAGGTGTAGGCACAGCTTTATAAAAATGGAGAAGTGGAGGGTGGTTTGAATAAAACGCCAGGAAAAAAGGTATTAAAAAATGCTAAAATTGGTTTTATACATATATAGGAACTTGTACCCAAGTTGAAATGTGAAAGAATTAAACTGGGAGCCAGTTCCCAGCCCTGTCCCGGGTTCCCCTTGGAAAAACTTTCCCCCCATTTAATGGGATCATGGAATCGTTTAAACTGGAAAAGACCTTTCACATCATCAAACCCAACCACCAGCTCTACCTCAAAACCACTTCCTTTTCACCCCCCTTTCAACGTCACCACCTCAAACTCTTCAAAAACGTCCTTTTTATCCAAGCAGACGAATTTTTATGCCCCTCACCTCAAGCACAGGGCGAGGGTGGCTGGAAGGTCCCTGCAGGAGGACACCAGGCCGTGGTTGGACTCCGTGTCCCCTTCCAGATGTGAAGGGGAGCAGGGACAGTTTGTTCCGTCTGACGACAGCGCGGAATCTGGATCGAATCCTCCCGGCCAGGCCAGGAGCACTGGAATGTGAATCCAAACTGATTCCAAACACGGTTTGCGAGCCCTGCCAGAGCTCCTGGAATCAGATCAAAGCCACCACTGGCGTTTGCACGCTCGCACCCGAGTCACAGTCGTGGAATCGTGGAATGGTTTGGGTGGGAAGGGACCTCAAAGCCCACCCAGATCCACCACCACGGGCAGGGACACCTTCCACTGTCCCAGGCTGCTCCAAGCCCCAGTGTCCAACCTGGCCTTGGACATTTCCAGGGATGGGGCTGTGACTGCCCCAGCTGACCCGGCATCCCCCAAAAGGGAATTGCACGGAAAGCTCCTGACCTGCAGGAAATTCCCATGGGAATGCACCAATTTTCCCAGGAAAGGGGATGGTATTTGATTGCATAAAGAGATATTCCCTCATTGTGGTTTTCCAGTCCTTTAGGGGTGGCTACCAGGACGAGGAGGAGGAGAAATGAAGCCACATGGAGAAGACAAGGCAAAGGCTCCAAGATGCCTCAGGAAAGGTTTGATCTCCGCACAAGGAAGAAATTCCTCGGAGTGAGGCCCATCTTCCCCTGGGACAACTTCCCCGTGGATGTGGTGGAGACCCGCTGCTGGAGGTTTTTGGGATGCAGGGGACAGGGCTCCTTCCACCCATTCCTTCCCCACACCAGGTTGGACCAGATGAGCCCTCAAGGTCCCTCCTAACCAAGGTGGTTCTGTGATTCCATCCCAGGGAGAGAACTTCCCTCTGATCCACCTCCCAGGGGCAAGGTGGAGCACCGAGATGGATTTGGTGGGATGGGATGGGCTTGGATTCCACTGTGATGGATTGGAGAGGACTTTTCTCTGCCAGCACCATCCCAGAAGATGAGAGGCTGTCAGTGTTGGTGGGAAAAATTCCAAAAGCTTCCTTTT